TTGGGATCACTCTCCTGAAGCTGCATTACCATGTGGGGAATAAATTATGTAATGCAACAGCAATTTCAACCATACTGAAATTAATGAAACCCATACCCTTTATAAAATATGCATAGGAAATCAATCTAAAATCTCTGTGGTATGTTTTCAAAAATGGTCGGCAGTAATGTGAACAATATGTGATATCTAGTTAATGGGGTACAACATGCAAAACCGCTGGCCTAGCACTATAAAAGGTGAAAAAGAGCTCAGGTGGCAGAGTAAAGAACTGTGGGACAGCAGCCGATTATCCTGCAGGGTGCCAACTCCCCGGCCAGCACTGCAGCTCAAAACTTCCTCCCAACAGGGACCAACGGCCAATGCAGCTTCCTGATACTGTACCCCATAAATAAACAATGCAGTCAAATGAAGTCAGGCTGAAAATCCTACAGTGTCACTCAGAGAAGTCAAAAGGTATAGTATAGTATAGAGAAGTCAGATTTTTTTTTTTTTACCTAGTGCCTGTGACAATTAATATGACTGCCCAGATCAGCTAACCATGCAAGTGGAACTAGCAGTTTAACTACTTAAGAAATCTGAGTACAGTTGGAGAATAAAAAAAAAATAAATAAAAAAAAAACTATTTTGGAAATAAATGTGTTATTTAGGTTGAAAAAAACAGCAATAATCAAGGAAACTGATAATAAAAGTGCAATAAGATGTGCAGAGAGACAGATGTTTACGTATGTGTGGGATTATCAGAGACCAGCATCAAGTTCATGTGGGGCGGCACTCCCTTCCCCAGCCACCAATAAAAACAACAATAACAAAAAATTGAACCAAAATGTCAAAAATTTCACCACCAGAGAACAAACGGGTAATGACAAATGATCTATGTAGCAATAAATACACATTTGTGCACCACTATTTGGACAATACATACATTCATACAAACACAAAAACAGGAATTTGGCTTTTTTACAATGAAGCAAAACAAAACCCACCTAACCCACACTACTAAGAGGTCCATTTCAACACTTTCATTTCCTCAACAAAATGCGGGGAAAGTACCAAGATCTCAGTGATGTCAGCCATATCTACAATTGGGCATGATGCAGACATGATTATTACTACAAGTCCAGCCATTGCTGTGGGATAGAACTCAGCTTCAAAGAGCAAGAGGAAATGCCGTGCCCTTCCTGTCACTCCCAGTCAGAATCAAATGACGTGGTTGAGATGAAATGAGGAGATTACGATACATGCTCAAAAAAGAAAAGTATGAGCTAAGGCAGATAAAAGCAAAAACACAAATGTACAAATGCAACCACATACAAACACACGTGACTAATTAATAATGTTCAGGAAACAGTGGGCGGCCTGACTGTGACAACTCAGAGCAGATCCATTATATTTAGAACCTTGGTTTACAACGTTCTCATGTCCTTCAATCACACAGGACAATGAGCTTTTTATATGGACTGCAAACAGAAGTAACTTCTAGGGATTCCCCAACTGTGTTCACTGAACTGCAGCTTTCATGCTCCATTTTGTTTTCTCTCAGGCACCCTCTTCATCCTACATCCTCCTTAACCATCTTATATTGTTTTTCCTTTATCAACTCTTCAGTGTCTTAAATGTTTTACTAATAGCCTGGGGAGAGTTTAACACAGCAACACTTGTACAGTACATTCCATTCCTTTGGCCTTGTTTGTCATAGGAACAGGTAAAAACAGAATACAATAAAAAATAAATATATAATATAAAAAAAAAAGTTCAGATATGCATAAAGACTGTTTGGAACACACTGCACATCTGGTGCATGTTAATACTGTATGTATCGGTTGATAACTTCGACTACTACAAAACTCTTGAAGCCAAAAGCAGAAGATATGAATCATGTTGGAATAAAACACATTCATGCTCCCATAGTCACATTAAATAAACAAAATGTGGTTATGCAAAATCCTATGAATTGCTGACTGGTTTCATCTGCCTAGGCCTAGTACCCTTCTGTATGAACACACTGTATGCGGCGCAGCTCTTGAATGCAGACCTGCCCTTACTTGACTTCTTAATCTTCAGTTTCCTGCCCTCCCTCACCCTATCTCAGTATAAAAACTTCACACCACTGTAATTCCTCCCGTTTCACCTCTGCCCTCCCTTCTCAGTGTCACACTGCAACAGCTTCATGCCTCCTTGCCACAGTTCTCTGGTCCATAGCCCCTCCAGTCCTGCCGTTTCCACTGAAGCATTGCACAAAAGCTGTGCTTGGCTCAATCCCACAGACTGGGACCCACATACCTCCCAATCTCTAGATTGAATAGCACTAGTCTCTGAAGTGCTTCCAGGGGCTAATGGCTTTTGTTGCTGGGAATAATCCACACATCCTCTCCCACATCCTGGGGGTCTGCTGGTCTGTTGTGAACCCCACTTTTACCCTCTTCATCTCTCTCTCACATCTCCATCTCTGTCTACGCTTCCTTTTCAGTTCACCTCCCACCTTCCTATGGCACAACCCTGTGGTTAAGTGCGGAGGCCTGAGAAGGGGATGCTGTGGGTTATATTGGGTCAGTGGGTTGAGAACCATGCAGAGTTTTATAGGGGAGTGCAGGTGCTGTCTGAAGCTAATGAAGGCCCTAAATCTTTTTTGTCATCTGGATCTAACTGGAGCCTAGACAGCCAGGGCAAAGGGAATAAGCACTGAGGAGCTATCTTCATAAGAGAAAGAAAACATCCGTCAGGCAACAACCACAGCAGACCAGCCTCTGTGTTAGCACTTGATGTCTGTTCAAAATAAATACAGCAGGGAGACAGATATTCACGAGATGAGGGGAAAGTTTTTTTTTGTTTTGTTTTGTTTTTTTAGATCAAAGAGCGCTCTATATTTTGGGTGAAGTAAAATAAATATGCAAAGTTGAGAACCAAGTCCAGACTGTGACCCTCTTGTCGCCCTCTGTCCTTCAAAATATTTCTGATTGAGAACACTCTTGGCTATAACATCAGAAATTTACTATTCAGGTATGAGCTCATATCCTGTCTGGGGGGATGAGAAAGGCAGAGACAGACAGAGAGAAAGAGAGACTGTGGTTACAGAACATAGACAGTGAGACGATGTTCACTTACAACCATAACTGGTTTACTTCATCAGCAAAAGTGCTTTTTTTTTTAAAAAAGCCAAACATTTTTATCCTCCAATTTTAACATCATTCCTATGGTTAGTGGCTGGCCTTCAGTCATATCTACAGGCAAGTACTATTTCACAGAGAAAACATAAAACTTGATTTCCAGAGAAACAGCCACTGCTGTAGAACGTTTAAGGCTAAACAGAGAATAAGAAAGAGCAGAAAATGGAAAACACAGGGGGCTTGGCTTGAAGACTAAGGGCTATTATGAGGGCAAAAAGAGAAACAAATCAGGAGATGAAAAGAGAAATAAGAGTGAAGAATAAAGAAGTGAAAGAACAAGTTGGTTTTCATGATAGAGGCATGATAAAAAACTAGAGATAAAGCAGTAAAAGGTGGAAGATGATAAAAAAGGGGAGTGGGGGAATGGAGCTAAAGAGAGGCACATGATGGGGGTAAAATGGAAACAAAGAAATACATAATGGAGAATTATCTAAAGTGCCTAGGATAGTGAATGTGTCATTCTGTGGCTTTGCGCCCACCCACCCATCTGCCCCCGGACCTCCACTAGAACTGCACACAAATATACATACACACATAAATACACACAGATCCAGTGTGGAGCAGAGAGTCTGCAGGTCATCTAAAACCTCTGCTGGTAAAAAGAAACAAAGATATAACAAAGCAGACTATTGACTGACTCACTAAGTCAATGAAGCTGTGTCCAGAAAAGAGGTTAACCACCTCTCTCATCAAGACAGGCGGGGCTTGGGAACAGGGTTTTGGGGTCTTCAATGGTCGGGGGAATGAATTAAAGAAGAAGAAAGACCATGTTATATTTGGAGGAAGACAGAAGAAATGTAGAAATGTAAATACAGTGTAAACTAAACTGACTTGGCTGAGAGTGTCAAGCTCATGAACAAAATGTAAAACAGAAGTGTGAACAGGTTAAAAGATGTGGTGGGAATTCATTAAAGGCATGAAAAGGGGTGGAACAGAAGATGACAAGAGTTTTGGAAAAGGGAAGGAAGGGAGGGAATAAAAAAGTAATGAAAGTTAAAGGTTAATGATGAGACAATCAAAGAAAACAGGGACAGTCTGGCAGCATTCACTCTGAAACATCCTTTTCTAAGCTCCATGGATGCAGCCTGGAGGTTAAGTCCCACAGGTCAGCGGTGAAAGCAGTTATGCTAGGGGGAAAAGGGAGGCATGACAAGTGACTGAACAGAGTTTAGAGGGAGTTATGGTTGGAATATTTAACTCAAGAAAAAATTCCAATAGGGAAAATCTAAAAAAAAAAAAAAAAAAAAAAGA